TGTGGGGGGGGGGGGGTTGTGACACATCCTCTCTCTCACAGCAGCGCCCGGGTCCTGCGCGGGGGCATTTTGGGCTCATCTTGAAGAATATCCCGGTGTTCCCTGGCTTGGGAGCAGTGACCTGATGGGAGGGGCTGCCCCATGGGGTGGGCTGCATCGTGCCCAGCTGCTGGGGGTCCTGACCCCGCGGGGTTTGTTTCCACAGGCCTCCAAGAACGCAGAAAATGCCACCACGGGAGAGACGGCGGAAGAGAACGAGGCCGGGGACTGAGCAGCTGCTGCTCCCTCCTGTAGTAACCCAGTCACACACACTCGCCCCTTCCCCCACCCCCAAAAAAAACAACAACAAACCTAAACAAAACAAAAACGAAACAAAAACCAGAAGAAAAACGATCTGGCACTGTTTGTTTGTCTCTTGACGACCACAACCAACAAACAGTCTGGACTTCCCACTGGCTACAACCAGCTCCTCTTGACTTTGCCAAGGAGGGAGGATCCTCTCAGCCACTTCAAAAAAAAACAACCAACACATAAAAAACCCCCCCAAAAAAACAAAGAAAAATAAAATTGGGAGTAAAAGCCACTCGATAGCCACTCTTTCTAACCCACACTTGTTGGGGGTGCACAGCCCATCCCAGCGAGGGGGTGCAGGCACCATCCTGCTTCCTTCATCCTCCTCCCTGGGCTTTTAAATTCTCCCTTTACCAATATTTTTTTTCTTGCAGGAAAGAAACAAAACCCCAACTAAACCCAAGAGCTGATGTCACCAGGACAGTGCCCAGTGCTGTGGTACCCAACGGTGCCTCGTGGGGCAGAGGCCCCTCACTCTTTTAACCTCTAGATTGGACGTTTATAATTGGGGAAAAACAGCAAGTTTTGCCGCCCCCTGCGCAGCTGCAGGTGGATCAGGCTTCTCAGTTTCTGTCTCTGCCTCGATTTAGGTATAAAATGCTCTATTTTTTAACACACGAGCTCGTTTTTAAGCGACGTTCCCACCAGGAGGGTCCCATGTACCCC